CAGTGTAAAATTCTTTTGAATAAAAACCGATAGCGTATCGATTAATCAGTTTAGACGTTGAATATGCGTTTGTCGTGCAGAAAAATCAATGCTTGCCGACGATATTGCTGCTAACTGACTACTGACACACTTTTTTGTGGTGTGTTTGTGTGCTAGGAGGAATATTTGTTGCTGTGATCACATTTCATCACATTTTCGATTCATCGCTTGCCTTAACGTTGTGATTGCTTTAAGCGTTTGTTCGGAAACAATCCAGAAATTTCCTTTTCATTGCGTTCACATCAACGAAAATGTCAGCAGCAGCAGCAGCAGCAGCATAGCATTTGCCTTTTTTTGTGTTTTGCCAAATGCAAAAAGTGATTCTCTTACAATTGTGAACATCTTACAAACACTACTAGTAGACGTTTAACGTTAGTTATATGATGATTGAAGCTTCTGCTGAGTGCGCCTTCGTTTCATTATCATTATCGCAAACAAAACATTCTCATCATCCTCTTCTAAATGGTTGCCGATCGCTGCAATTTTTTTTTTTGTTTCGCAATATAATCATTCAGATTTTAATAAATGATTATTGAGCAATAGCCCGTTTCATTGTATTGTATTATTGTACTTTTTTTGTGTAATGATCGATTATGAGTGTCCTACTTATCAGAGAAGAATTCTTTTGCTTCAGCAATTTATGAGAAGAGTAACCGATTCGTTCCGTTTAGCGAATGAGAATAATCGTTTGTGTTTTATTTGATTGAATCCCATGAAGAATTACGAATGCATTTAAGGGAGAGAGTGATCGTTTCACTCTTATACATCGCTTCTTGAATAATGTTCCTGAACACGCAATGAAAGTCATGCTCGATGCTTAAAAACATCAATAAAACGAATATTTCCTGTGAACTTAAAAATCTGATTTAATTTTCTCATAATGTTATCCAATGTNTGTCCGAAAAGACTACTGTTATGTTCATCTATTTGATTAGTTTCTAACAGAGTAACTCAAATACCTTTCATCATCCCTCTTGATTTCTCCTCATAAGTCATCAAACATGAGAGTTTGAAAGGAAAATTCTTTTGAATAGGCTGAAAACAAGCGACAAACTTTAGCGGACGTGCGACTTGTGGTTGTCTTTCTTATGAAGCAAATGTCAACTAATGTTTCCATTTTTATGTGACAGTCTCGAAAAATGAATTGTTTCGATGTTTCATCGCATGTTTACATTAGCGTTCGTTCCTCCATTAGATGTGTTCAAACAGTCGTCACAGTAGAAGTAAAAGTAAAAGTATACGTGAAAAAGTGCGTTTACAGTGGAATCCATTCACGATTGCACTAGGCAATCTCTAGCTACTATTCAAATCAGCACCACTATTGATCTAACTGGAATGTTTGATCGTCGTCGCATTTCGCGTACTCTTATCCACTTACCTCAAATTACTCGCAGTCCTCCTCGCATTCATGATCAAACACCAGTCAGTAATCGATTAATCTAAGCATTTGTTGAACGCAATTGCATCATTCACTTAAATCACACTTGAAGATTATTTTCTCCAGTCGATTTGTAATTGAACAGCTGCCATACCTGAACTTGCTCTATGTTAACTTTTGTTTTTCGTGCAGGGGTTTGCCACGTACCTCACCTTGTGGTCGTATATTTGCTGAGACGAACGGTGACGACTCGACAATGTCGAATAACAACAACGTCGGTAGCAGTGGTTCAGGTGGTGGTGGCTCAAGAGTGGTACCAGTTCAGTTGATTCGTAAAACGTCCATTGATGATTTCAATGAGCAAATGGTCGGCATGCTAGACGAAGTGGAAAGACGTGTGGAACAGCTCAGGTTAGTCGCTCGCTGCTTTTTCTTGCTAAACTTTCAAGTTCTCTTTCAAGTATTCACCATCAACCAAGAAGCTCGTATAACGTAGGCAACTCTGACATCAACGGATTATGGGACATGGTTTTGATGAGCTTTGACGAGTCGAGGCTTGAAGTCCACATATGTTCGGGTTTATCAGTCACGAAGAAGTGAAAGGCAACAGCCTTGAGTACCGGTCTGAAGACCGGACAAATGAGGATAAAGGGGCAGACGGCGTAAAATGTTACCTAACGTTTATTGACAGATCAAATTTACGGAACGCTA